AAGATTGAAATTATATCAAGAATCTTTCGGATTACAATGGCATGAAATTAGAAAACTACAATAAAAGCACTGAAAAACATTCAAACACGTGGAGGCAAAATAGCACATTATTAAACAATTAATGGGTTCCAAAGAGATCAAGGAAGAAATAAAAAAAAACATCCTGGAAACAAATGAAAATGAACATACAAAAACCCAAAATCTATGGGGCACTACAAAAACAGTCCTGAGAGGGAAGTTCATAGCACTACAGGCCTACCTCAAAAAAAAAACAAAAACAAAAAAAAACACACACACACACAAGAAAAAGCTCTAATAAACTATTTAACATTACAGCTTAACGAATTAGAAAGAGAAACAAAACAAAACAAAAAAAAATAGCCCAAAGTAGAAGAAAGGAAATAATTAAGATCAGAGAGGTACAAATTAAAACTAAATGAGGGATCACCTCACACCTGTCAGATTGGCTACCATCAACAAATCAACAAATAGCAAGTGCTGGAGAGGATGTGGAGGAAAGGGAGCCCTCCTGCACTGCTGGTGGGAATGCAGACTGGTGCAGCCATTATGGAAAACAGTATGGAGTTTCCTCAAAAAATTAAAAATGGAACTGCCTCTTGATTCAGTCATCCCACTTTGGGGAATATATGCTAAGAATCCTGAATCACCAATCAGAAAGAATGTATGCACCCAAGTGTTCATAGCAGCGTTTTTACAATAGCTAAGATCTGGAAACAGCCCAAGTGTCCATCAGTAGATGAATGGATAAAAAAATTGGTGGTACATTTACACAATGGAATACTATGCAGCTGTAAAAAAAGAACGAACTTATACCGTTCTTATGCTGTTTGCAACAGCGTGGAGGAACCTAGGGGGTATTATGCTAAGTGAAACAAACCAGTCAGAGAAAGACAAATATCACATGATCTCACTTATATGTGGAATCTAATGAACAAAATTAACTGATGAACAAGGTAGGTCCAGAGGCATGAATACATGGAACAGACTGTCAGAGGGGAGGAGGGATTGGATGAAAGAAGGTGTAGGGATTACTGAAAATCATATACACATAACAGGAGACACAGACAACAGTGTGTGATAGCTGGAGGGAAAGGGGTGGGCAGGGGGAGGTGGGCCAGGGGGCAATGGGGGAGAAAGAAACTTTGCTTGAGAGTGGTCTGTGCATGGCGCACTGTGCAGATAATGTTTAATTGAACTGTACACTTGAAGACGGTATGCATTGCAAACCAATGTCATCTCTACAAATTCGATTAATTAAAAAAAGAGTTGAAGCTAACAGGAGGGCAGTTAACCCGCCCCCATCTCTGCAAAGGCATCAGGGTCCCTGGACAGTCCCTTCTCCACGCCTCACCCCTGGACCAGCAGTTTCATGGAGCTGGGCGGGCAGTGGCAGCGCCCGGTCCTGGGGACTCATCTCAGTCTGCTCCATTTAAGCCTTAAAGGGTCACCACGACGCCTGGGAATAGTCCCAAAGTGCCCCCCCCCCCTCTCTGGTGGCTCCTCCCACCCAGCTGGGCTGGGCCTCTCTAGGAAGAAAAAAGGAGATGAAGCTGAGAGGAGGCCCTGCAAGGAGCCAGGCACCCACACCCACAGGTGCCACCCCACCCACCCCCCACTGCCCACAGCCCTCTGCCCACTGCCCTCTGCCCTCTGCCCACTGCCCACGGACCTCTGCCCACTGCCCACAGCCCTCTACCCACAGCCTACTGCCCACGGCCCTCTGCCCACTGCCCACAGCCCTCTGCCCACAGCCCACGGCCCTCTGCCCACTGCCCACTGCCCTCTGCCCTCTGCCCACGGCCCACAGCCCACTGCCCTCTGCCCTCTGCCCACGGCCCACAGCCCACTGCCCTCTGCCCACGGCCCACTGCCCACTGCCCTCTGCCCACTGCCCTCTGCCTACGGCCCACTGCCCACTGCCCTCTGCCCACGGCCCACTGCCCTCTGCCCTCAGCCCACGGCCCAGGGCGCGGTCAGGCCGAGAACGCGAGAGCTGAGCACCCTTCCCCCAGGTCTGGGCCCCTCAAGGTTGGGGCCGGGCGGGCGGCAGGCACCCTGGTGGCCTCTGGGCGCTGGGATCGAACAGCTGCCCGGGGGCCACCCTGCCAGCCCCGGCGGGTGGGGCGGGAGGGCCGGCTGCGCGCAGGTCGGAGGGAGCCGGGAGGGCGCCCTGGAGGACGGGGCCTCTCCTGGAAACGCCCGCAGGAGAACTGGGGGCGAACGCGGGACCCCGGGAGAGGCGGGCCTCCCAGGGAGACCAGAGTGGCCACGAGCCGCCCGCCCCGCCCGCTCCCCACCCGGGTCCTGCAGGCCGCCCGGGGTGGGTCTGCGACTCCAGTGGAAAGCCGGTCCCCAAACCAGCCCTCTGGCGCCCGCGTGGGCAGCAGGGTGGCGGGGGAGGCTGGGGGCAGCCACAGCCGGAGGCCGCGGTTGATCTCCGGTTCCAGACGCTGACAAGCACGTGGGGAGGGAGAGAAAGCCTGCGTCTGGGTTCTGAGGCTGTTTTAGGTTTAAAGCAAATTACCTTTCACTCCTAGAGCCGAAATTTTATCGCGGCTTTTCCTCCTCTCCGGCCCAGAAGTGCAGGGACTAGTTTGTATCTGATCAAGCCTTCCTACCATGAGCCGAGCGCTTTCCTTTTTCTCCGGCATTAAGTGAAAGACTAGACATTAAAGAATTTATCAAGTGAGTATTTAGGCGACAAAGATAGTCACAGAGCAGAAGAGCTGCCACTGCTTTCGCCTGAACTCAGAACGCTCAGGCTGGGCGCTGCAGCCGGCAATGAGGCCTCCTTATAGTCACATACAATCTGGGACCAAGGGGACCCTTGTCCGCTCACCTCGGATCACACCGGTCGGACTGTAATGTGTGTTCCCGCCCGCTTTTCAGGGGGACACTGAGGCTCTGTGGGAGAGGACCGGGGGAGCGCTCCCTCCCCACCCCCAAGGTGTCGCCCGCTGCCGTCTGCCTCTACTCGTTGAAGCAACTTGGGGTAGGATTCGTGATGCGTCTGATCTGACTTTGAGATGAGGAAGCTGCCTGCAGCCTGGGCCACAGTGCTGGGCAGCGCTCGATCAAAGGGGAAATGGGATAAAATTCCACGCCGCGTGGGAAGATTTGCTCCCTCCTAAGAGAACTCCGGAGAGCCACTCCCAGGCACGGAGTCGGGCTAGCTAGCCGCTCCCGGGAGCTGCTTATCTGGGCCCAGCTGCTGGGCTCCCGCGGGGCAGCCGCCCACTGGGGCCTGCGTCGGCCTTCTCCCCACTGGGACAGTGAGATTGTCACAAGGTGGGGCCAGGGGCCGAGCACTGGGTGGCCTTTTGACAGCACTCCGGCCGCCTCATGAGCCCTCTGGCCCACGGTCCTCTGACAGCAGAGGGCTGGCCCCTCTAAAGCCCCTCACAGCCGCCACCCCAGCCTCGGCCCTGCATGGGGAGAAGGGGGCGTGCGGGGGGTGAGGGTCGGGCTCTGGAGCCAGACAACCCCAGATCAGAGTCTCAGCTGTGACTCTCTCACAAGAGAGGAGCTTGGTGCCCTGGCGGACACCTGTGGGCTCCCTGCTGGGCCCAGACACCAGGGCTTGGGGCAGTGGTGCCCACGGGGAAGTGTTTTGCTGGGGTTTATCCACCTGCTCTCCTGGGCCCGAGGGAGACCACCAGCCATGTGACCTTCACCAGGGCCTTCACCCCATCGGAGCTTGTTCCCTTTTCTGCAAAATGGGTACCACAGTGTCCTCCGAAGGCGTGCTGGTGGTCAGGAAGGACACGTCTACAGCAGTTCCGGATGAAGAGCGGCCTCCACTCTGACTTACCATCTGGTAGAGAACTGTCATCCAGGTAAAGACGCGGGGGGCTGGCCAAGGCCCGCTCTGCCTCCAGGCCATGAAGGGAGACTCCCCAGGACTCAGCCCAAAGAGGGTCAAGTGGCTGCAGGTGGAGGTGGGCATCTCCTGGCAGCCGGTGCCAGCCGCCTGTGCACCCCCCACCCCCAGCTCTAAGGCATTCTCATGTGTTCAGGACCCTGCACCCTCTGTCCCCAGCGGCTGTTCAATCAAATGCTCCCTCTTAATGGGTTTTGGGGTGTCAGGGTGATTGTTCCAGTTCTCTGGGTTTGCTTCCAGGAGTTGTGGTGCGATTTAATATGTTTTAACAGTGTCACTGAGGTATAATTGACACAATAAACCCTTTCAAACCTCCTCCCATGCTCTCAGGGGCCCCAACAGAAGGAAACCAAGGACCCCTGGCAGGGGGTGGTGTGGGCACTGGCCACCAGGCCTGGCGGCTGGACTCCCTCCCAGAGGCCACTCCGGCTGGAGTCCAAACACTGTGCCTAGGCCCATCGCTGCTGACCGCGGGGGCCACGCAGCGGCCGGCCGCCAGCCCTCCTCCGGGCAGGGCACCTGGGAGCCCTGCACAGGCCCAGCTGGGCTTCCGGGGACTCTCGCAATTTGTAAATATTGGCTCAACTTTTTACAACTTTTTCATTAGGGTTATAATCATGGAGGACAGACGCACACCACGGAGGAAGTGCGTGGAGCGGCCGAAAGGCCTCGCAGACACTGCAGGTCTCCCCACGAGGGGCGGGCGGGGCGGCCCCAGCGCGGCGGGTCCCGCAAGGGCGCCCCCTCCCCCGCCCCCTCCCTGCGCGAGCTCCACGCCCCGCCCAGAGGGGGAGGCGGCTCCGCCGCGAGACGGGAGGAGGGCGAGGCCGCCGCCGCCCTCCCGCTCGAGGAGCCCCCGCTCCCGCGTCACGTCCTCCAGGCGCCCCCCACGACCCTGCGCGCGGGAAGGGCTCCCCGTGGGCGGCCTCCCGCCTCGGCGAGGCCCGGCGGCCAGAGAAGGTCCCGGCGCGCAGCCTGGGCCGAGCCCCGCGAGCGCGGGAGGCGGGGCCGGGGATCGGCGCGGGCGGCGACGGCAAGAGGCCCCGCGCGGGCGGGGGGCGGGGCGGGCGGGCGCCTGCGGACGCGGCGGCGCGCGGGGCTGCGCAGTCTTCTCGGCGCGCGGGGCGGTGAGGGCCGCGGGCGGGCGGACGCGGCGGGAGCCGAGCCGGGGAGGCCGGGGCCGGACGGGCTGGCGGAGAGCCGTCATGGCGCCGCGCGGGGCCGGGGCCCGAGCCTCCGCGCGCGACCCGGGCGCCGAGTAGCCGGGCGGGGCCGACGCGCGGCGGCGGTGGGAGCAGCGCCCGCGCCCGCCCGCAGGCCGCCCGGCCGGCGATGGTGACACATGCGGCGGCGGCGCGGCGGGACCATGGTTGAGCGCGCCAGCCGGTTCGTGCTGGTGGTGGCGGGCTCGGCGTGCTTCATGCTCATCCTCTACCAGTACGCGGGCCCCGGGCTGGGCCGCGGCGCCCCGGGCCGCGCGCCGCCCGACGACCTGGACCTCTTCCCCACGCCCGACCCGCACTACGAGCGGAAGTACTACTTCCCGACGCGCGAGCTGGAGCGCTCGCTGCGCTTCGACATGAAGGGCGACGACGTGATCGTCTTCCTGCACATCCAGAAGACGGGCGGCACCACCTTCGGCCGCCACCTCGTGCAGAACGTGCGCCTCGAGGTGCCCTGCGACTGCCGGCCCGGCCAGAAGAAGTGCACCTGCTACCGGCCCAACCGCCGCGAGACCTGGCTCTTCTCCCGCTTCTCCACCGGCTGGAGCTGCGGGCTGCACGCCGACTGGACCGAGCTCACCAGCTGCGTGCCCGGCGTGCTGGACCGCCGCGACCCCGCCGCGCTGCGCGCGCCCAGGTGAGCCCACCCCCGCGGCCACGCGGCCCGCCCGCCCGCTGCGAGCGCCACAGGCCGCAGCCATCTGCCCTCGCTCTCCCCTCCTGCCCCAGTCGCTCCCCTTCCCCCTCTCCCACGGGGCGGGTAGTGCCTGGGCCCCCGCCGGGTCCTCGTGGGCCGGTGTGAAACGGGGCCGCCCCACGTGCCAGCCCGCCGGGGAGGACAGTGGATTCTGGGCGTGTGCTCCCAGCTGGTGTGTGCGCTTTCCTGCGCCGCTCTCCTGAGGCGCTCCCACCCAAAGCTCAAGGAGGAATGGAGGGTGCTCCCCCTACCCTGTGGGCCCCCGCCTGCCTCGGGGGCTGGGAAGGCCCTGCCCGCTTGTGTGCGCCGGTGGAACAAAGGCCGAGTGTGGCCTGGGCTGCTGGCTCCCGGAGTTGGGCCCCAACCAAGTGTGAGCTTGCCCTGAAGGAGGAACAAAAGCCAGGTGCGGGGGAGCGGAGCTGGTCAGGGCAGGTGCAGCCAGACACCTTTCCTGGGGACCCCTATCCTGTGGAGGTGGGGGCACCCGCAGGACGGTGCTGGGTTGTGGGTGGTTCCAGCTGGGAATCTTCCTCCTGTTTGGGGTGCTCTGGGGCCTTCTCCCCAGAAGGCGGCCGGGAGGCCCAGGGTGCAGGCTCGTCTGCTGTGGGTCTGCCTCCCGGGTGCCTCAGGACTGTGCGAGCCGGCTGCCTGGGGATCTGGCTGCTGTTGTCTTGCTTGTCGGCAGTCAGGAAGGCGCGGGTCTCGGGGATCTGGGGTGAACGCGGCCGTCTGTCCATGCACTGCTCCCCCTGCTCAACCCTGCAGTCCTTTCCGGGTCTTTCCCAGGCTGTTGGGAATTGGGGCCCTAAAGCTGGTGGGAGTTGGGGGAGGATAGCTACCCCCTTTCCCTTGGCTGTGTTCCTCCCTGCCCCACAAAAAAGCCTCTCTCAGCCTGCGACAGAACATTCCTGGTCTCCAGTAGGCAGGTGCTGACGGACCTGCCTCCAGGGCCCCTGAGCCTTGCTTTCTGCCCACACTTGGCCAGCTCCGCACAGATGCACTCTCCTGGCATAATTCCTCCCAGCCTCCCCCAGCCCTTTCCCCCAGCCTCCCCCACACACACATCCGTGGTTGATCCTCGCTGTACTAGACTGAGCTTGGCCTGGGGGCTTGCAGCTCTCTGCCCACCAGGGCTGTAGGCCCCTGGAACTGGGCACTGCCCAACCCAGGTAGGCCTAGGCAGGCACGTCCCTGTCGGTAGGAGGGGGATGGGGACAGACACCATCCTGTCTGCCAAAGGGAGTTACCCCGAGAGCCCCTTAGGGAGCATGTGCAGAGCTGGCCGGCCGGCTGGCTAGGGCCTGAATCCAGCCAATGGCCTTGGCCCTAGTTTGCAACCAGGTTGTTCTTCCTGTAGCCCTGGGGTCACAGGGTGAAGGTTCCTGGCCTCTTTGTTCTGGAATTTGTCCTGATGAGCAGGAGATCAGGATCCTCACACACAGAAGGGGGAGGGTCAGGTGGAGCTGATTGCTCCCCACCCTACCCCACCCCACCCCACCCCTGTGCCACAGGGCCCACCCAGGGTGGGTATGTAACAACAATGGAAAATAAATGCCCGGCCTGGTCAGCCAGATGCCTGTTGCTGGGGTGGGCTGCCAGCACCTCCCCCACCCCCCAAATTGCTGAGCTCAGCGGCAGCAGCCTGTGGAGGGGGTACTAGGGGTGCTGAAGGCCCTGCTCTGTTGTCCCCTCGGAGCTGTCGGTGCCACCAAGCAGGTGACAGCTTTGCCTTTGCTCTCCCTCCTGTCACTCTGTTCCAGGCACTAGACTAGATAGATTGCTTTTTAATGAGCTTCCTGAGAGGCCGAGTAGCCGGGCCTGTGCGTGTACGTGGGCCTGCCCCGAAGTCGCCTTGCGCCGCCCTGGTGGTGGGCTGGGCTGCCGCTCTCCCCAGTTCAGTGGCCCGGCACCTGTCAGGAAGGAGCGGGCCTGCCCTCCGTGCTCCTGTCCTCCTGCGAGCCAGGGGTTGGTGGTGCCTGGTTTCATGAGTCTCGGATGTCACCCTCACCTCCTTCCAGTAGAGCCAGGTCCCACCCTCCCGTGGACGTGGCACGCCCCCAGCTGGGGTCTGAGGAGGGGTGGCCCTGGCTCCTAGAGCTGTCCTGACACGGCCCTTGGGGGTCGGGGCCCCGGTGAGGACCCTTTCCTTCTCTCAGGCCGGCACACTGCAGGACCTGGGCAGGTGCCTTTCTGTCACGAGGGGCACTTGGAGAATTTCTCCGCCAAGAATTTCTCTCCCAGCTTCTGAGGCCAGGTCTTCTTGTGCAGGAAATGAGGTGCTCCTCGCCCTGATCTCCTGGGTCAGGCCGGGCATTCTGAGGCCTGTGCTGAGGAGACGCATGGAGGTGGCAGGTGTCCTCCTCCTTGGGATGTGCTCCCCGGCCTAGAAGAGAGTAACAGGTGTGTGAGTGAGGCCTGTGTCTGTAGGGGGGAAGGGAGGGGGAGCTGCTGCACTTGCTGGCCTCAGCCGGGAGGGCTTGTAAGGGCAGGACTGGCCTTGGAGAGGGGCGGCTGCCCCTGGGCAGCAGGCAGGTGGCTGACTGTTGCCAGGAGCTACTTTGGTGAGTGTCTCAGCACCCCACACCCCTGTGTCGCCTTGTGGGATTGGGTGGTGCCCTCAGGGCCAGAGCCCTCCTTCCTCCTTCCGTCTGCCTGATGGGGCAGGAGCCAATGCCAGGTCTTGCCTGGGTGGCCCTGGAGTCACGTAGGCTTCATTTGGGACCTGAATGTGGCTTCTGGGCCACCTTCATGGGCCCCTGGCTTGGCCCCTGGAGTGTCCTGGCTGCGGTGCTGCCTGCGGAGACAGCGTCCTTGCAGGAGGCGCCGCGCCCAGAAGCTCCTGCGTCAGTAGAGTGTGCCCTCGGCTCTGTGCCTCGTCTCCGGCCCCATGCCCTCCCTCCACCATCCTGAGGTCCTCAGGTTCCAGAAATAGGCCTGTGCTGCCCTCCGCCCAGCTTGCCCTCGTCTCTTCCCACTGCTCGGCAGGCTACCCCTCTCCCGCGGCCCAGCTCTGCTCCCTGCGCCCAGGAAGCCTGCCCTGGCAGCACTCGTGGTGCCCTGCATCCTGTCACGTCCAGAGAACGCTGGCACCACAAGAATCCTCTCACCAGGACCCACAGCCGCCCTGGGAGCTGTGCTCCGCAGGCTTCACCCGGACAGGTCGGGCTCGGCCTTGCGTGCAGTGCCAGCCCCAGAGAGACACAGCAGCTCCCGCCTGGCCTTCCCGTCACTGCTCTGTGCTCAAGGGGACCAGCCCGCCTTTGCCTGCAGCGGGGAGGCGCCACCCGCCGCACAGGGCTGGGCAGTGGACAGGGCCCGCCTGAGGGGCCTGGGTGGGTGTCACAGTGGCCTGAAGCACCGAGAGAGCACTTGGGTTGAGACAAAAAGAACCTGAGGTCAAAATGTTCAGAATTACATTTTCATTTTTTAAGAAAAGGGAAAAAACATGTTTTTCAGCAGCTGCATGAGAACTTCCTTCCGAAGCAACCTTTCAAACGGTTTGTGGATGGTGCTTTTCCATGGGCTCTGGCTTGTGAAGTCACGCGCTAGACCTCGTGTGTCCTACAGCGCCGGGGACCAGGACCTGTGTCCTCAGCGGCACTCCTCTGTGAAGCCGGGGCCGTGCAGTGCCGGACGCGCGTGTGGCCTGGCTCTGGTCCGGCCTTGTCCACCCCTGGCTCAGCTGTCCTGTGGGCCCAGCTCCCAGCCGGGGCCCGGACCGGGGGAGCCAGCAGGCGTTTCTTTCTTGGCGGGAGGCCTGAGAAGCGTGGCGGCTGCGCTGGGGAGAGGTAGGCGGCTGGTGAGGGCGTTTGTTGTCCTGGAGGGCCCTGGTCTTCCTTTCACATCCCTCCTCCTCTGTCGTAAGGGCGGCTGGTGGTAGATCACTGGGAGTCGGGTGTAAAAGAAAAGCCTCCCCTTCTCCAACATCCCCGTTCTCTACCATTGAAACCGTAATAGAACTTCTCTGAATCTCCGTGTCACTGAGCATAGCCGTGCAGGCAGGCCCGCTGGCCCCTGCGTCCTCCGCCAGGCCCCGCCGCGGCTGCAGTGAGCGCCGGTGTGAGTGTTCCGCATGGCTCCGTAGCTCCGTCCGGTTTCCTTTTAAATTCCTGGGAGTGGAACCTCTGAGGGGATGGTGGGGTGGCTAGAGGCTCTTCAGCAAGTCTGTGCCTGTGTGTTGCCTCTGGTGGCTGGGTGCCTGTCTCGGCAGCACCCCGTGGGACTGAAGCGTGCATGGGAGCCTGGCTCTGGCTCCCTCACACTCGGGAGTGCAGGGGAACCTCGCTGCTCAAACCTAAATCGTTCCAGAAGGCGGTTCAAAGGAGAGATTTGTTTGAAAACCGAATCTTTTTTCCCATTAGAAACAATGTAAATTGAATTAATCCATTCCAGATTGCCAAATGATTCCCTGTTTTACCCTTTCTCATATACAGTACATGTCTAATGTGCTGTTTAATCTATAAATTTATGGAACCACCCCCTACTAGCCTTAAACGGATCCCTTTCAGCCCTCAGTCCAGGGATGCAGCATCTTAGCTTGTCCACATATCTCTGCCTCCCAAATGCAGTCACTGGCTAACTGCTATTCCTTTAGCCAAATCAACAAGTTTTCCTACCTCTTCCATTTGCCTGTGAACTTTGTTTTGTGAGCACTTTTACACCCTTAGCCACATGAACACTCTTTTTTTAAAAAATATATTTGTATTGATTTCAGAGAGGAAGGGAGAGGGAGGGAGAGAAACATCAGTGATGAGAGAGAATCGTTGATCGGCTGCCTCCTGCACGCCTCCTATTGGGGACCAAGCCCACAACCTGGGCATGTGCCCTTGACCGGAATCGAACTCGGGACCCTTCAGTCTGTAGGGTCTATCCACTAAGCCACACCAGCTAGGGCAACATGAGCACTCTTGATGGCCTCTTTATGTTTTAAAATTGCGCTG